CTCCTCTGTTCTCCTCTTAGAATTTTGGGCATGTACATACAAGCACCCAACATAATTTTCTTTCTTTCTTTCTTTCTTTTTTTCTTTCATTCTTCCTTTCTTTTTTTAAAAAATTATTTATTTATTTAATTCTACATATTATTATTATTATTATCATTTTGATTTGGCCAGAGAAAGACAAAGAGAGAAAGGGAAAGTGAGAAAACAAGCTGCTAGGTCTGAGACGGGAACTGTGGCGGGTCATGTGGGAATCCAGCGCCTTAACCACCATGCTACCTGCCAGCCCCATGCCCAGCATGATTTTCAAGCCGAGTCTGGGACTCGAACCTCAGTCAACCATAGGAGAGTCCAGTGCTTTCTACCACTCTGCCTGCTGACCCTTTAAAAAGTTTAAAAAAAAAAAAAAAACAATTTCTTTGTAAGAGAGTATGTGCATTCACAAGAGAGAGACAGAGAGAAAGAGAGAGGGAGAAAGAGAAAGCATCTTTCTTGGTGGAGCATGATCATAGCACAATCTGTTCTCCTCAGTTTCTTTTTCCTGTCAGAATTTTTGGCATGCACACACATGGGTCAGGCATATTTTTCAACCCTCTGGGTCTGGAATTCAAACTCTGTGATTGGCCATGCAGGCCACAGAGCCCAAAATATTATGCTTTCTGTGGCATTTCTGTGACAGAAAGCAAGAGTGTTGTTGGGGCTTTAGGTCAGGGGAAATAAGAAGAGAAAGAATCGGTGAAGAAACCAGGGGGTAGGGGGTTACTGCCGAGGGAACTTCTCTCCCTACTGTGCACCGAAGCTCATTAAGCTCAGAATTGCTAGGGAATTGGGAAAGAGAGAGAAACGGCTGGAAAAAGCAGATAGTCCAGTCAGCATCTTGGCCTGCCTCCTTTTGGGAAACTCAACTGCAGCCGTCCAGTGGACCAGAAGGGACTTGTTTGGTTTATGCCCTTCCCACTTTCTATATCAGTACCACACAGGAAAGGCCAGTCATTGTCATCACTCTGAGAAGGAAGGTCATGGAACAAAAGGTATACCAATCAACACTTCGTTTTATAAAGGCCTGGCGTCTTGTCTTAATTCAGCTTGGCATGGTGGAAAGCACGAAGTGAGCTTTTGTGGGGTCTTTGTCTCCCAAAGGCAAGTGGCTCTCACAGTCACATTGGTTGGTTGCCTGTGGCCCCAGGTCTAGCAGCGTAACAGCTTACACTGATACGCAGCCTGCTATGTGCCAGGCACTGGCTTATTGCTTGGTGTATGTTCATCCATTCAGTGTTCATGTTAGCTCTGTAAGGTTCTTACTCCATTTTGCCAAGTAGGCAATGGATATGTTGAGAGGAAAAAGACTCGCACCCAGTCAAGGTGCCTCCAGAGTACGTGCTCATAGCCAGCAGTCTCAACCGTAACGGGCCAGTCAGTGAGTAGTTTAGATTTTGTGTGCCATACAACTTCTGACACAGCTAATCACCCCTGCCATGGTAGTGTAAAAGAACTTAAATGAATGAATGCGGCTATGTTCCAAAATACTTAACAAAACCAGGCAATGGATCAGCTGAGCCCCTAATCTGCAGACCCAGCTCTTAACCACCCAATGGTACAAAAGCCCTCTTGTTTACATTTTATTTCCTCAGACCATGTCAGTCTCCATGATACTGCATCCAAATAACCAGTATCATATATAGGATTTGTAATTTATAGCACATCTACTCTTTACACACTTGTGAGATAGATTTTTATCAATGTCCCCATTTTAAAAATTATTTTTAGTTAACTAATTAATTAATTTTTAAAATGCTGTAAGGCACGCTCATTCCCCAAGAGACAGAGAGAGAGAGGGAAAGTGAGAAAGCATTCCTTAAGAGGGATGGCCGTGCTGTGATCCCCTCTCCTCCATTCTCCTCGGGATTTGGGACATGCATGCACACATACCTGGTGTTTTTCAAGCTGTTGGGTCCAGGACTCAAACCACACAGTTGGCCACATGAGATCCAGCCACTAACCACCATGCCACCAGCTGGCCCCAATGGTCCCATTTTAAAGAATGCAAAATGCGACTTCAGAGACAAAGTCACTTGCCTAGAGTCTCATGTTAAAAGATCTTTGGCATATTCTAAACCTGAAGTCTAACTCTACAAATGCCCGTCGATCCTGACACTGATGTTTGCATTTTCCTTCTAAAATTTCTTCTTTTTTGTTTGTATTCTGTGCTGTGCTTTTTTGTTGGGAAAGCAAAAGAGAAACATCCTGATCTCTCCGTATCTACCTTCTAGAATCTTTTATTTTGACCTCGTAGGATTTTCTAGATGAACAATGTTCTTATACCAGGCTGGGTCTCTGAAAGCTCGGGGGACAGGCACAGCCTACATTTAGCTGCTGAGACTGCTTGCTAGTTCTTGCTGTGAGAACTAGGCAAGACCTTTCCCATGGAAACTCTGTTCACCAACACAGGGCCTAGGAATATGAGCCACAATCTCAGCAAGTAACACTCACTTGACCTCAGAATACGCTGGGTGCTTTGCTAATATTTTATACTTACTATATTGAATCTATGGAACAACTCGAGGGAGGCAGGTCTCATTATCCCTGTTTTACAGATAAAGAAATAGGCACAGAAAGCAAAACAACTTATGCTAGAAGGACTGAGTACCCTGTGTGCCTGACCTTTTTAAAAATTATTCTTTGGGGGACCAGCAGTTAGCATAATGGCTACGTTGCTGGACTCCTATGTAGTCGACCGCGGTTCGAGTCCCAGAATTGGTGGCTTAAACTCGCCCCGGGTGCGTGCGTGCCTAAGATCCAGAGAGGAGAATGGAGGAAAAGGGATTGCGGCGCGGCCACCCCCCCTGGGGGATTAATTTCTTGCTTTCTGTTTGTCTCTGTCTTTCTGGCTAGCGCACGCACCCTATAGCAAAATCCTCTCCAAAAAAAAAAATTATTTTGGGGGGCCCAGCAGGTGGTGTGGTAGTTAGTCACTGGAGTCCCATGTGGCTGACTACTTTTCAAGGTCTGGATCTGGCAGCTTGCTTTCTCACTTTCCCTCTCTGTCTCTCTCTGTTCAAATTTTTAAAAAATAATAATAAATAAAATTAAATAATTTTTAAAAATATCTCTTTTGTTTTGAATTGCCAGAGGGTGTGTGCACTCACCAGAGAGAGAGACACAGAGAGACAGAGGAGTAGAGAGAGAGAAAGAGGGGGAGAAAGCACCACCTAGTGGGGTGTGGTCATGCCACGATCCCTTCTCCATTCTGTCAGGATTCTGCACACAGGCCTGCGCAGACACACACCTGGCATGTTTTTCAAGCCACTGGAGCTGGGGTTCAATCCGTAGTTGGTCATGCAAGATCCGGCTCCCTTAACCACTAGGTTATAGGGTCAGGCCTAAAAATGTTTATCTTGCGAGAGATAGCACAGCATAAAATTTACCATCTTTTTAATCTTTTAGTGCATGGTATAGGAGTGGTAATAGATACTGAGCAAGAGCTCTCTAGACTTTTTCATCTTATAAAACTGAAACAACTCCCCTTATCTCTGACTTGTTTTGTTTTGGTTTTGCTCTAGGGTACATGTGCTTGCCAGAGACAGGGGAGGGAGGGAAAGTGAGAAATCACCCCCGTGGGGATGGTCGTGCTACGATACCTTCTCCTCTACTCTCTTCGCGGGATTCTGGGCACACTCGCACACACATGTGCCTGAAGTGATTTTCAGGCCTCTAACCACTGAGCCATGTGGGATCCAGTGCCTTAACCTCCGTGCCACCTGCTGGTTCATCTCTGACTTTTTAAAGGATAGTTTAGTTGGCAGCTCATGCTTGGTAACTACAATGGCACTTCAAAAAGCTCGTGGAAACATGGGATGAAAAATACAAGCTTATTTTGGTGCAAAAGTTTTGAAAACCTTGTATAGTTTTTCATAATTCACACTTTCCATGAACTTTATGGAGATGCTGCATGATGCCAGTGCTAAGCAAGACCATAGAAACTTCCAGTCAAAATAAGCTCTTCCTTACACTTCTGCCATGGAGTTGAGAAACAGGAAGACACTCTCCATGGAGGATGAGGTGGCTCTTAGGATCTTTCTGAATCAGAGCGCTCTAGTCTCCCCACCAATTACCTCTGGTGGTTTGCAGAAACCTGTAGGATTCCCACGAAGGTCACTGTCATGTGGGATGAGCTTTTCTTGCACTGCCCCACTATGCTGTTTTCCCCAGGTATTGCATAAGAGCGTAATATGACTTCACCCTCAAATATCCGTACTGAGGTTGGTCAGTACTTTTATCACCAAGGGCTGGGGAGCCATCAGCCGCATGGAGCTCAAGGGCCTTGATTGTGCCTCATTTCCGTCCAGTGGCCCATTTCTGTCCAAGGCTTCATAGACGTGGCAGTTGCTCTGTTGTGGTTGTGCTAGACTGGCACTTCTCCAGAATTAAATTTAGGGTAATCTTTGCCAAAAGTTTCTGCCTAGCTTTTTTTTTTTTTTTTTTTTTTTTAATTTTACTATAGGACATGTGTGCTTGCTGGACAGAGACAGAGAGATAGAAAGGGAAAGTGAGAAAGGTCCCTGAAGGGGGATAGCTACACACAGTCCCATCTCCATTGTCTTGGGATTTTGGCCACACATACACATGTGCCCTGTGTGTTGTGTGTGTATGTGCGCATGTATGTGCGTGGGCATGTTTCTTTCCTTTTGAAAAACAGTTTTGTTATAGAGTGTGTATGCTTGCCAGAGAGAAGGACAGACAGAAAGAGAATGGGAAGTGAGAAATCACCCCGAGGGCAGATGGCCAGCCGCAATTGTGCAACACACACACACACACACACACACATCCCCAGAGTGGTTTTCAAGTCACTGTTCTGGCTGTACCTGGTGGATTCCAGCAACCTTACCCAGCTGGCCTCTGCCCAGCTCTTGAATGCCAAACTCCCTTCACGTCCATTGACTCAGCAGTGATGGGCAGTTTTGTTCTAGCCTAACCTATGAGGGTATTCTTCGTCTTTCTATCAGAATGTGAAGAAGACCGACTGGTTCCAGGAGTGGCCGGACTCCTACGTGAAGCACATCTACAGCTCGGAGGACAGGAGCGCCCAGCGGCACCTGAGCAGCTGGGCCATGCGCAACACCAACAACCACAACTCCCGCATCCTCAAGAAGTCCTGCCTGGGCGTGGTGGTGTGCAGCCGTGACTGCTCTGCAGAGGAGGGGCGCAAGATCTACCTGAGACCTGCAATCTGTGACAAAGCACGACAAAAGCAGCAGAGTGAGTGGAGCGTGGTGGCACCACCCAGGGAGCTGGCAGCCATTCAGAAGCCCCTGACTGATGGGCTGCTAGATTCTAGCTCACCCTCTGACCCAGCCCTTGCATTGAAGAGTAGTAAAGACCAAGGTTGTTCCAACATAGAGCATATTAAGGGAGAACCAGTGTCCCTGCTTGCCCCTCAGAGCTGCCATGCCTAGAACACCCATCATTAAAATTGCTCTCAGGACCAGCGGATGTTGTAATGGTTAAATCGCTGGACTCCCACGTAGCTGGCTGCGGTGCAAGTCCCAGACACTTTATGGAGATGCTGCATGATGCCAGTGCTAAGCAAGACCATAGAAACTTCCAGTCAAAATAAGCTCTTCCTTACACTTCTGCCATGGAGTTGAGAAACAGGAAGACACTCTCCATGGAGGATGAGGTGGCTCTTAGGATCTTTCTGAATCAGAGCGCTCTAGTCTCCCCACCAATTACCTCTGGTGGTTTGCAGAAACCTGTAGGATTCCCACGAAGGTCACTGATGCTGTTTTCCCCAGGTATTGCTTAAGAGCGTAATATGACTTCACCCTCAAATATCCGTACTGAGGTTGGTCAGTACTTTTATCACCAAGGGCTGGGGAGCCATCAGCCGCATGGAGCTCAAGGGCCTTGATTGTGCCTCATTTCCGTCCAGTGGCCCATTTCTGTCCAAGGCTTCATAGACGTGGCAGTTGCTCTGTTGTGGTTGTGCTAGACTGGCACTTCTCCAGAATTAAATTTAGGGTAATCTTTGCCAAAAGTTTCTGCCTAGCTTTTTTTTTTTTTTTTTTTTTTTTTTTTTTTTATAGAAGTTGTGTTTTTTGGGTGACATGTGTGCTTGCTGGACAGAGACAGAGAGATAGAAAGGGAAAGTGAGAAAGGTCCCTGAAGGGGGATAGCTACACACAGTCCCATCTCCATTGTCTTGGGATTTTGGCCACACATACACATGTGCCCTGTGTGTTGTGTGTGTATGTGCGCATGTATGTGCGTGGGCATGTTTCTTTCCTTTTGAAAAACAGTTTTGTTATAGAGTGTGTATGCTTGCCAGAGAGAAGGACAGACAGAAAGAGAATGGGAAGTGAGAAATCACCCCGAGGGCAGATGGCCAGCCGCAATTGTGCAACACACACACACACACACACACACATCCCCAGAGTGGTTTTCAAGTCACTGTTCTGGCTGTACCTGGTGGATTCCAGCAACCTTACCCAGCTGGCCTCTGCCCAGCTCTTGAATGCCAAACTCCCTTCACGTCCATTGACTCAGCAGTGATGGGCAGTTTTGTTCTAGCCTAACCTATGAGGGTATTCTTCGTCTTTCTATCAGAATGTGAAGAAGACCGACTGGTTCCAGGAGTGGCCGGACTCCTACGTGAAGCACATCTACAGCTCGGAGGACAGGAGCGCCCAGCGGCACCTGAGCAGCTGGGCCATGCGCAACACCAACAACCACAACTCCCGCATCCTCAAGAAGTCCTGCCTGGGCGTGGTGGTGTGCAGCCGTGACTGCTCTGCAGAGGAGGGGCGCAAGATCTACCTGAGACCTGCAATCTGTGACAAAGCACGACAAAAGCAGCAGAGTGAGTGGAGCGTGGTGGCACCACCCAGGGAGCTGGCAGCCATTCAGAAGCCCCTGACTGATGGGCTGCTAGATTCTAGCTCACCCTCTGACCCAGCCCTTGCATTGAAGAGTAGTAAAGACCAAGGTTGTTCCAACATAGAGCATATTAAGGGAGAACCAGTGTCCCTGCTTGCCCCTCAGAGCTGCCATGCCTAGAACACCCATCATTAAAATTGCTCTCAGGACCAGCGGATGTTGTAATGGTTAAATCGCTGGACTCCCACGTAGCTGGCTGCGGTGCAAGTCCCAGACCCGGCGGCTTAAAACTCACACCAGGTACATGTGCGTGTGTGCCCAAAATCCCAGCAGAGAACAGAGCAGAAAGGATTGAGTGTGACCATCCCCCTTAGGGGATGACTTCTTGCTCTCTGTCTCTGTCTCTCTGGCGAGGGCACACTCCTTATAGCAGAAATTCCTCTTTAAAGAAAATTGACCTTGGGACCAGCAGTTAGCATAATGGCTATGTTGCTGGACTCCCATGTAGCCGACCATGGTTCAAGTCCCAGACCCGGTGGCTTAAACTCATGCCAGGCACATGTGCATGTGTGCCCAAGATCCCAAGAGGAGAATGGAGGAGAAGGGATTGTGGCATGGCCATACCCCCTGGGGGGTGATTTCTCACTTTCTGTCTCTCTGTCTCTCTCTGTCTTTCTGGCTAGCACACGCACCCTATAGCAAAAACCTCTCAAAAAAAAAAAAAAAGAAAGAAAAAATTAAATTGATCTTGGGGATCAGCAGGTGGTGTGGTGGTTAAGGAGCTAGACACTCCCAGATGGCCGACCGTGGTTCGGGTCTGGCCCTGGTCGCTTGCTTTCTCCCCCTCTCTCTCTGCGTCTCTCTCTGGTCAAATTAAAAATAAATAAATGAATAAATAAAAATGAAATAAATCCTTAAAAAAAATTGATCTTTTGGTTTAAGGCATCTGATTTGGGGTCCCTGCTAAAAAGATGTATCACTCAGGGGGCTCACATTAATTCGTCAGTGGTCCCTGTAAAGTTCAGGAGAAAGGAGTTTATCAGACTTGCATTCTGATGTCTTGGGAACTGGGTCCGTAAGTGATGTCAGTGAGTGCGTTCTCCGGCATGGTGACAAGGGACTGAATTTGACTCCTTCAGGCTCGTGTTACAGTCATATGCTGAGGTATTTGTTCATTTTTTAAAATGGTAGTCACTGGATTGTGAAATACACACATTCATTGTTCCCTGTGACTTGCCTTCTTTGCGCCTCAAATTACTTCACGTTCTTTCTTCGTAATTTGTCTTCAAAACTTGCTCTCAGGGCAGGACCTGGCTTCAGTCACTTATACCTTAGTGAAAATTTAGTAGCTGTGCTCTTTCTCATGTGGCCTAGCCTCTTGCCCTTTAGTTCTGATTGTGAAATGAAAGAATGTTTTTCTGTTCTCTATAAAGAATTTAAAATATCAGTAAATAAGCCAGGAGAGGTCTTCTGCTCAGAAAAATTCTCCTCTGACCTGTAAAATACCTTACTCCGTAGGCAACTGCTTACTCCACCCAAGTGTGAGATCAGTCGGGGCCATGACGGTGGCCAGGCCTCGTAGGATCTAGGGTAAACCCAGCCGGTGAAGCCCATTAAACTGTGTTTATTCTCTGCATTTGAGAGTCAAAACTAAAGCAGTCAGTGCTGCAGAGACTCGGGATACACCAATATGGTGGTGTTACTCTCCTCTGTTCTTTTGTAGAGAAACGCTGCCCCAACTGCGACGGGCCCCTGAAGCTAATTCCTTGCCGAGGCCATGGGGGCTTCCCTGTCACCAACTTCTGGAGGCATGAAGGACGCTTCATATTTTTCCAGGTAGGATGTGAGTTACTTATCTGATTCTGCCTCTCAAGTATGAAGAGTTTCACCAGAGGCTAGAGGTACATAGGTGAACCCAATACTGAGGACTCATGCTGTGGGAGAGTGAGTGTCTGAACCCCACATTCCAGTAGAGGTTTAAATCGCAGAGCCCTAGGAGAGGAACTGGCGGACTCTGCCTTGGGTTCCTTAGGAGAGGCAGCAGTGAATCTATTGCACTCAGGTTAGCACGCCACCACCAGCAGCCTTCCCCACACCCGAGTTTGTGCTTTTAACGAGCACTGGAACCCTAAGGTGACATTCCTCCCAAGTCCCAGCTTCCTGTAAAATGTCTAAGAAGCACGGATGGGGCCATGGTGTAGAGAGTGGTGGAGTGGACTCTGATGGCAGCTGCCTACGTTTGAGTGGAGTACTGGTAAACCAGCTCTGCAAAGTGAGAAAGTCCTTATTTGTGGCTTTTGCCAGTTTCTGTGGTGTAACTATTCCCATGAGTGAGTCAAACTAGTAGTCATTCCTTTTTTTTTTTTTTTTTGAGAGAGAGAGATTTTTCCTGTAGGGCATGTGCGCTCACCAGAAAGACAGAGAGAGACAGAGAGATAGAAAGCGAGAAATCATTCCCCAGGGGGCATGGCCACACCACAATCCCTTGTCCTCCATTCTCCTCTTGGGATTTTAGAAACAAGTCTAGAGTTTCAAGCCACTGAGTCTGGGACTCAAACCACTGCTGACTGCATGGGAGTCCATCACCTTAGCCGCCACCTGCTGGCCCCACTAGTATCTTTTTTTTTTTTTTTTTAAAAATTTTTTTTTGGGGGGGGCCCAAACGTACGTGAAGTGGCTCT